GGCGGAGCTGTGCGCGGTGCGTTTCTTGCGAGCTTAGCGTCGTTTGACCCATCCGCAGGGCACACAACCACAGCAGTCCACGGCAAGACCTGCGCTCAGAGTTGTTCAAAGAGTTCAATCAATGTGGCGAAAGAATTGAAGAGTGGAGAGGGCTATTGAAATGCTCTTAGGCAATATGGTGTTTTTCTCCCTTTGTAAACGGTTGGTGAAAGGCCAATGAGAAGCCCAAGGTGAAGGGTCCCTGCACGGCATTCGAGACGAGTTCTTTTAAGCTCTCAGTGCTTTCACAAGGCAGTCAACTTACCAAGAAGCTTCAGAAGGCAGCTGAGATGATCTAAGAAAAAGAAGATGGATGAAGATGGGAGATTTGGTTTTGGCTCAAAAAGTAGAGACGCAGGACACTCCAAAACTGTTCTTCCAATTGCTCCGCATGTGTAAATATTATTTTTGATCATTTTCAGGGTGGGACCAGTAGCCATGCGGATTGACAAAGTATGGACACTGCATTTATGAATATGGATGGGGATTGGGCTCTTTGGTGCACCAACCTCAAGATTGTTTGGAGGGTGGTTCCTTTCAGCTGGCTTTTCATGATTAATAGCTTTTCCCACTGCAACAGAGCTACACAGAAGTGATTGACCTGCAGAATTGTGAGGACTTCTTCCACTATTCTCCCCAAAGAAAATGAGTATAGGGTCTTCCAAATTCTGCTTCACTCATCATCTCTGTTCATTTTGCCATCTTTCGGATCACCCAAATCGGTGTCCAACACTGCTACTACTAGTGAAACATGGGAAAACCACGGTCTTTTGTTCAAGTGTAGGTCAACAACTAGAGGTCCAATGGAACATGACACAAAAAGACTCCAATCTGTATACATCCATGGCTTAAAAGATCTTAATAGCTCGGTCTTTTCCCCCGCATGGCCCGCATTGGCCCCGCATGCTCTACCGTGTTCCTCGTGGCTTTGACCGGAGGCCTTGACGCTGCGCATCGATGCGCAAGCGCGACGCTCCGAGACCGGGCGACCCGTTGGAGCCGTTTTGGGGTGTTAACGAGTTGAAGAGGCACCGGTCGCCGAATTCGACTCGCAAGGTTTGAGATCGTCGAATTGGTGGTTCACACCTCCTGGTGTTTTCCTCCAACATACCGCCATCCACCAATTGGATCCAATGACATCATGTGTGGTTTGGGGGGGGTCTTTGTCAAGGTCCCGCGATGCCTTGAAGTGTCTTTCGGGCTTCTTCACGGAGAACACCGTCCACACCCGGAGGCGAGGCATCACGTGGGACCGACCGTCTGACCGGGGGAGATCTGGACCGATCAGTTGGGGTGGTTGAAAAGGGGTCAATGTATATGGCAGTCCCATGGAGTGTTTGGGCGATATATACACATGTTTATATTGAGTGGTCCAGAAAGGGTGACCAGCTACCATTTTAGTCTATCTATCTATGAAATTATACTATATTCTATTCTATTCTATCCTATTCTATTCTATCCTATCCTATCCTATCCTATCTATCTATCCTATCTATCCTTCCTATCTATATTCCTATCTTCCTATCTATCTATCTATCGATCGATCGATCGATCGATCGATCTATCGATCTATCGATCTATCGATCTATCGATCTATCTATCTATCTATCTATCTATCTATTTATCTATCTATCTATCTATCTATGGATGCATGCATGTATGTATGTATGTATGTATGTATGTATGTATGTATGTATGTATG